CATTAAGATGCCGTGAAAGTCCTTTACCAATGTTTAATTCGTCACTTACTTCCTCCACCTTCACTTGCCCTGGACCTCTGCCTTTCCCTTCTCCCTGCCTTGAGCCCTGGACCACATCTATTGCCTCCTGAGGCCCTTATCAAACCCGAGTAACCATAGCTGGAATAAGTAAGCCCAGTTTTGATCTTTTTCTTCTTGTCATCTGGAGATAAAGCAGAAGGCACTACATTGATATTCACCAAGTCTACAGTCAGACCCAGTGGATTTTAGAGTGGACGCACCGAGAACAGCGTTAGCTGTGCCTCTAGTGTTTGCCAGAGGCCTCTCGTGGAGCAAAGCTTGGGTTTCAAAGATTCCCTGTGGTGCAGATGTTGATGTATGGAGGATCTCAGCCAGGCCAAAACTTTATGTCTGCCTTTGGGACAGTGAAAAATGTGCCACTGGTTCATGGCAGCAGAAAAGGAAGAATATGATATATGAAACCTTTCAGCTAGGTGAGGGATCTGGCCTCTGTCACCTTTTCCTTCTCTGTCATGAAAATAGGAGACTCACTAAATGTGCACTCATTTTTTTTCCCTATATCAAGCTTGACTGCTATCTTTCAGAATAACTGCACAGACAGACTGAGAGCCAGAATCTGCTTAAACACTGTGCTCACAGAGAAATGTTTTTTCTTTTGAGTAAACCTTTGCTAATTTAGGATTAAAGCAGGACTTACATATGCTCATCTTGACAATAAAGCTCCCTAAAGTTACTAATAGTGTTTTTCAGTCCTCTCTTTTTGTTCAGCTTCTATACTATCATCATCCAAAAATCTGTCTTCTTCTTTTCAGAGCTGGGAACGGCAGCTGTGACTTCCCCAACAGCTGCTCGAGAGTGGCGGCAGTTTGAGGAGTATGAGGCAAATATCCCATCGGAGCTCACTTGTTTATACTGAGATCACCACAAAATGCCATTGCATTCAGCTTGCTGCAATACAAAAATGCTTTTATGTCTTGGGGCTTCACAGGGAGGATGTGGTGTCAGAACTCAGCTAACTACAGTTGCGCTGGAGTCAAGAGAAACTCTGCTGCAGAGGAGTGGGTGGCTTGTTTTGGGGGCAAACACATCACCTCAAGACGTTTTCCCTTCTTCTAGCTCTGGCTTACCAATACACAGGGTCTTTACACATGTTCATCTTTTTAAATCAAGAACCCTTTATTTCTCACTGAAGTCAGTGAGAAATTCACCGTTGACTTCAGAGGAGCAGCATCTGTCCCACATTTTAAAGACAGTTTCGCCATACATAGCAGAAATTTGTTACTAAACTAGCTTTTTGGTTATGCCCGTTTTCAGGGAAGGTCTAGAGTCTCAAGTGGTGTAAAAGGAACATCTGTACTTGAAAATAACAGCCCTTCACATCTGGGTCCCAGATGATTCGGGGCAGGTAGAAGCACATCTGGACCTTGGAGTACCATGCTGTGCAAAAGCACATCTGGAAACCTATAGCATACGGTAAATTTCTTCAAGTTAATCACTTAAGTCACTGACGATTATTGGTTTAATTAGTTAGTATCTTTTCTGGAAATACTTGATATGAAAAAAATAAGGATGGACATGTGTTTTGGTCCAGGATGTGAGAGGGCCGGTGTGAGGAAGGGGAAGGAAAATATACTAAGTTAAATGTCATTTAACTCCGCAGCTGAGCATATTTCTTTACAGTAAATATGCATTTCTGTATAGTTAGTATGCGCGCTTAGTAGCAGCTTTCAGCCTGTGAGCTCTTTAGCACAGGAATTGTCATTTGTGGCATGTTTCATGCCTGGTGCAACAAAGCCCCGACCTGCTTGGCAAGTACTATGGTGACAGCAATGTCAAAATGACTTTTTTAAGATCTAACTCTTCTCTTGGCCACTTGGTAGCAATGCTGCAACATCTACCTACAGCTCGTCCACTTGCTCGGTCCAACTGTTTACATAGTATACAACAAACCTGGGATCCACTATCTCCCCAAGTGAGGAAAAAAAAGTCTAGAAAAGGATCTGTAACGTGTTTAATCTCCCACACTTCGCTTTGCTCACTTCTTTTGCTGCAAAAGCCTGGAAGAGAAAACAGCCAAACTTTCTTTAACAGCTTTATGCTCCTAATTAAGGATCCCTGATTTGGCCGCAAAGTTTTGGGAGAGGACAACTAATTGTCATGAGTAACAATCTGTCCTACTCACAGCAGCACCGGCAACTGAGCTGGCCATCATGCTGGCTACAGGGTTAAAAGGGTAGAGAGCCAAACCCTGCAATATAAACTGACAGAACACTTTCTATCCGCAAGTCTCCAAACAGCTCCCGACTGGCATTATCTCCATTTTACAACCGTGGCAGGGATGGCGGAAGTCACCCACCTACGGTCACCCTGTGAGTCAGGAGCAAAGCTGGGAAAAGAAGCCACAGCTCCTCATGCCAAGTCCGAGGCTCCAACAACCCGACTACAAAGATGAAACCAAGAGAGCAAGAAAAATCCCAGGGCATGTCTGGAACCAGCTGGTCTTAGTACGATTCAGCTGCTGCTGTCAGACACAGATTCATTAAATAATATAGAAAGTCTTTCAGCTGAGACAGACTGCAGTACAAGCCTATTATCTAATGCATCCCCTATTATCAGGGGACAGTCTCCCCTACCTGCCTAAAATGCAACTCAAGGGTCTAACAGGTCTTTTCCATTCCTAAACAGCTGAAACCTGCTGGACAAACCACTGCCGTAATCTCTTCAAGGTTTCTGTGCAATGAGAAGTTTTACAAAGCTGCAGGAGTAACTCAAGGAGACTCCCTCGCTAGGCAAGTTCCAGGGGGATTAATCCAAAACTTGAACACTTCATTTTTTGCCACACATCCCTGTGTGAAAAACAGATGCATGGCACTGCCAGCAGCATGAGCAGGGGGAGAATCCCAGTTTGCAGCCTCCAGCACAACGGGGCTACTGCCATAGAAATAATCATTAGCACGCGCTGGTAGCATTTTACACTTACTCAGCAAGGAACAGCAATGAACACCCTGTAAATATGAAGGTGGAGAAATATGTTGCAGCAGCTTCTTGTGTGGCTTACCAATCACTAGTTGTGATGAAGGATGGGAAACAGCTAGCTGTCCGCTACGCAGCTCCCCTAGGATATCATACTGGCTAAAGATTGACAGAAAAGAACAGAACGGAGAGGTGAATGGAGGGAAAAATCTCATGGGAGGACAAGTCAGAGAAAAGGAAAAACTAAGAGAAAAGTGTGTGTATTACAGGACACACACACTGATCCCACTATATTTTATTTTTTAAGAGCGATTCCACCTTTATTATTTAGCGTAACTGCTCTGTAGCTCACAAAGAAAAAAACCAAACTGCTCAAATCTCTTTGCTTTGCAATACTCTTGGAAATAAAGAGACAGAGGCTTCATTGTGGGAATGAAAGCAAGGTTGCCAGTGTGAAAATTCATAAGCTCTTCCCTCTGCTGGGGGGGGCTATTCAAATGTACAGGCACCTTCTTGGAACAGAGATACAGCACAGCTCGTGCAAGGGGGGAGAGACGACCGTGTGAAGGGACTTGCTGAAGGTTTGCGTGGACCAGTGTCAAGTCCCACATCTTCAGGGAGGATGAGCTGGGGAAAACAGAATAAACCAAAATGGTTCTTTCTCCCCATGGAAATGAGTGCAGCCAGAGCATGTGTGCAGGTGTGTGCGCAGGATGGCATAGGAAAGGTGACAAATATAAGCCCGGACTTGTCCTGGGACCCATTCTAGCATGAGGAAATGTGTAAATTATGGCCCACAAACTCACATTCCTGAATAATGCTGCCGATTCAGGTTGGGGTACAATTAGCAAGAGCTGGGCAGAGCTCTCTGGAGGGGTTTGAAAGGAATAGAAGTAGACTGGAGCTCGAGGAGAGGGAAAAGAAAAACCCTCTGTAATTATGGACTGGACGTGTCCTCCCTCTCCCCACTCCCTTCACTCCTCTATTTCCCTTCCTCCCCCTCCGCCTTTCTCCTCTCCACCTCCATTCACTGCTTCTGGGCGCCTCTTAGCCCTGGAGTTAAATTAATCAACAGGATTAGGTGGAATCGGCCACAACAAGACCCTCCAGGCTCAGACTGAGCCCTTGATGCTCTACAAGGACCTGCTGCCTTGTCTTGAAGCACCTTGGTGCCGTCTGGAAGGATTGGCAGACAGGACCAGACATGAAAACGCATTCATTAAAGTGGGCATCGGATTTTGTTAGAGGGTAAAGGGGAGCTGAACATTCTCTCCCTCAGTATTTCTCATCTCATTTCCTCTCTCTCTTTTTCTCTTGCTTCCAGCTGCACCATCCTAAAAATTAAATGTGTGTTGG